TCCCTTTTGCACTTTATCAAACTCGAATGTGACCTCTTCGCGAAGATGACCAAAGGTTTCAATGCAGTCAGACTTTACATTCGAGTCATTATATTTATTTTATGTAAAATGAAACATGATCATGAAATGCTTCATAATATCATCAGTTAATATATCCTTATTATATATAATGCAAATTTATTATTATGGGTCTTCAATGAATCCTAACTCTTCTCTCTGTTATTATCTTCGAATTATCAATAATGTCTTTTTAATTTTTATATATGATAGTTCTTTCGACTTTATATTTTAAATATTAATTACTTTAATATTTAAATAATTATTTATTAATATATTAATTATATAATATTATTATATTAATAATTAATTAATATTATGTTAAATAATATTATATTAAATTTAATATTAATATTAAATATTATATTAAATAATAATACTATATAATTTAATACATTTTATATTAAAAAATATTATATATATTATGAATAGCATATATTATATATTAAAAATTATATTATATAATATTATGTAATTTAATTTTTTTAATATATATATCGTATATTGAGTGTACAGTAAAATAATATAAAAAATAAAAAAAATTTCACAAAAATTTAATATTATTCTGAAAATCTGTACAAACTTTTTGGACAACCTTATATTATAAATATCTAAATTAATCATTTTAATTGATTAGACAGAAATAATAAAAATATACATGAATTTTTGTGTTAATTATAATGTTAACAACTTGTTTCTCATTGCATGCAGTACGATGCAACTCGAGACACGAAGTCGCATGGACTCCTCTCAGTTAGTAAAGATGCTTACGATCGAATGTAAGTACTTTATTTAAACGTCGAAGGTCAGGATGCTCTAGTACGGCAACGCGTTGAACCCTACGACCTTCGCGAGTCTCTTCGAGAAGATATTCGAATAGGTACTTACCAACGACGCGTTGGTTCAACCGATATAAGAGTCTCCTTGGAAAATTTGCATCGCATTCTCGTGAAGCTTTCGCAGGTGCCGATTGTACTACTCGGCATAGTAAGTAGATCTTCTTGTGGATCTCGTTTCTGCACCTGGTCCAGGTAACAGCAGCAGCAACAGCAGCAGCAGTAAACGTGCAATCGTCTCGACTAATGCAAAGAAAAGAGAATGAGAGAAAGAACGAAGACGATACAAATGGAAAAAAGGAGAAAACAAAAATAGAAGAACTCTCTGTCACTTTCTTTCTCTTATTCTTACGATCCCCTTTTACTCTCCATCTCTCTCTCTCTCTCTCTTTCTTTCTCTCAAGCCCTTTACCAATCTACCCGTACTTCAGTTGTAAAACTTTTGTTGGTTAATCGTATTCGGATGTATGTTAAATCAAGTTGACTGCTTTACGCAATGAACGTGTGTGCTAAAGGAGTACATCTTAATTAGGAAAAATTCTTCGAAACATTTTTATTTCCAGCAATATATATGTATATACTAGACTCAAAGGAAAACGTCAATTACAAATCTCGTAAAAGGCATTTGTTGCGATAACAAATAATCTTAGAAAATATTTCAAACGAAACGTCTAAATGAATGTCTAATGAATTTCTTTTCTAACAAAAAAAAAACAAAGTTTATCCTTCAATACGAAATTAAACCACCACAGTTCATTTATTTCGTAAATCGTAAAAAAAAAGAAATAGGAATTTAATTAGCATCTCGTAGCCAATAGTAACTAACTCAAAATCGAATCTTAATGAATACGATCGATAATGCAATATCGAACGCGTCCATCCTTGCAATCCAATTTTACAAAGTAAGTATTACAATCTCGACTAGGATAAATTGTACCTGTCATTAAACCCAGGGGTACAAGCAAAGGCACGTGTGTCAGAACGAAATGTAATTAGATTGTAATGGAGAGTTGGGTTTGCTATCGATCGGTGCTTAACTCTGAATAAATATCGAAAAGTACGTATTATATATTACATATTGCAAAAATCTATTTGTATTAGATAGAAGACATTAAACAAGTGATACAATTTATTCATGATTTATCCTGTTTTCATAGAAAGTTTCATTCAACTTAACGAAATAAAACTTGTCTTATTTTTCATCGATTCATAACATGGTATAATTAAAAGATAGACGTTTGACGCATGGCAATTAAAAGTTTCCCCTTTTATAATATATAAGCCTATCGCGAGAGAGAAGTAAAAATATCGTTATATATATTATAGAAAGATGTGTGTATACTCGGTATATATAACATGGATCACTAATTAATTACATTTTTTATAAAGTATATTTAAAATCTTAAAGCTTAAGCCATATGCTCTAAGAGACTATATACACGCTCAATTAAAATATATTTTATTTTCCCCATGTATCTGAGCTATTAGTTCTCTCTCTTTCTCTCTCTCTCTCTCTCTCTCTCTCTCTCTCTTATGATTATCAAGGATCTTGATTAACCTTGCTTATAGCCGTTAATTCTCTAAAGACGTATACCAGTAAAATAACCAAATGTATTTTACCTACCTGAGAACTGATGAGTAAAATAGTACCTACAACGAAAATGTAATACTATTGCATGATTGCAATATAAAAAAAACAAAAGAAAAAGAAGAAGAAGTGGTGAAAGAAGAAAAATACAAATAAAAACTTATATATACCTAGTGACTATACTCGCAACATGAAATACCTCGAAGCTAAATGAATTTGCGAGAAAGGAAGAATCGGCTTAACGAGGATCTATCTATCTATTTATCGATCGATCCCCATGCTCGGAGGTACTTCTTCGTGCAACTTTGATTCAACCTCACGGTTCCTCTACCACCACCACCACAACCACCACCTTATTTTACGTTCAACGGACAAGTTAATCGTAATCCGTAATTAAGGAACGAAGTTCTTAACATTGGACAAGAAGAATACACGAGATCAATGTCCCTCTCTCTCTCTTTTTTTCAATCACCAGAATCAAATTCATTCAAGTATTTTACAAAAATACGCATCTTAAGCAAAGTGATAGATCGTCGTTTCTCTTCCCCCACCCCCGCTCACATCTAGTCCCTATCTATTTTTTCCTTTATCAATCCGAGAGAACTTCATTAACGTTACAATGTTATGTGTCAGTAGTATTCTTCAAAGTGTTAGGTGACTCGTGAAACTACTACTACTACTACTACTACTACTACTACTATTACTACTACAGTAGAGCGTCCTGACCTTCCGCATAAGAATAAAGTTGTATTATTCGACTAGAAAGATATTCTAACAAGTAGTAAGTATACAATGAGTTGTGCAAATATTGATTGAGTATCTGGTTAGTCTCACGAGTATTTTTTTTTTTGCATTCTTACTATTTATAAATAAGAATACACATCGTTTATTACTAGTATTAAACATGTTTCGAGTTGACTTGTATTAAATTTGAATAAAATTGAATATAATTGTATTGTAAAATTCGTGATGAATAATATGAAAATCTTTGACATTGGAGAATAATGGTAATTTTGAATAAAAGGTCATTTTAATTTCAAATGAATTTAGATGATTAATTGATTCTAATTAGTCTTACGTTTAAATAAAAATAAGTATCTCATTAGATAAATAGCAAATGTCTAATAATATCATAGTAAAAGAAGGATTAAAAAGAAATAGAAAAGAAAAAAATTACATATGGATATATAATCACGAATGAATATTATCTCGTAGGAGTATAAAATCAAAGTTACAATTAGTAGGTAATAGAATATCGTTGACTTTGCCCGTTGGGCACAAACGTTCGACGAAATTACCCTTGAGACTTTGTTCCAACAACTCTTTGCATCGTTAACAAACTCGCAAATGGAGAACGCGTGCATACATATAAATGTGCTTTGAAAAAAATCAAGTGGATGCCGTTTAGTCAGAGGAGAGATCGGAGCAATCGTTATTTAACGATCGACCCCATCGTTTGCATAGTTCGTCGTAAAGAAGCAAAGAAAAGAAAAAAATATATAAAAGAAAAAGAAGTCTTTACGAAATACGATCCTGTCTACAGGATCTGCATAGGAATCGTACTCTCGAAGCAGAAGAAGAAGAAGAACGAAAATATCGTGTCGAGTAGTCGTCGTGTTTCTTCCTTAGAGGATACGTTAGACGTAATCGTGCGTCTCTACGACACAACGACGGGAACCTCGTCGATGATTATAATGGAATGCATGTAGGAATCAATAATTCATAACGCTCATAGGTAGCCACAAGAAGCCTTGGGGCCTTCTGCGAATTCTTCGAGTGGAATCACCCACGGCGATGAAAAATCCTTCTTTTTGCCTTCTGACTACTTTTCTTCTATCTATCTTTTTCCTTTTTTATTTTTTTTTCTTTCTTCCTCCTTCTATCTTTCTCTAACAGAACTGCGATACGTCACAATCGTCATTACGAATGTTATAAAACACATCAGTCAATAATATCAAGTTTCTTAATCTAGCAGACGACATATATCTTACGATATTATTTATTCATTGTCAAATTAACGAGTATCTTTTTAAAATTATTCCATGAAAATAAATTATTATTTTATAGAAAATGTATTTCTTAAAGAAATGAGTTACGAAGACCTCGAATGTAGGGGTCGCATTCAGGAACGAAACACTGGCGGAATTTGGTATTTGCAGCAATGAACTTTAGAGTTCCTAATATCAATAATAGTAATAATAATAATAATAATAATAATAATAATAATAATAATAATAATAATAATAATAATAATAATAATCAATAATAATCAACCATCGGGTATTATTAGCGATAAATAAATATTTTCTTTTATTTTTTAAGGACAGATAAAACGAGATGAGTTGTGAGATACGATAAATATTAAAAATAATATCGATTGTATTTTATTTTTAATTTTGATAGTTAGAATTTACGGAACTTCTGTTCCGCGTTGCATTGCCAATATGTAAGTATATTACACATTAATCCAAATTCACGTGAAATATATTCTGATATAAACGTGTTTACTGTGTGAAATGATGTCTTCCAAGGCAGAACTTTTATTCTTAGAACGCCTTCAACATAAGGTAAAATGTCTTTCTGTTATTTTACACATAACCTACGTGTATACTTTTCATTGTTGACCCCAGGTTACTCACGATCCAAACGTGTATCACTTGTAATATGAATCACTTTCTAAACGTTCGATCATACACTTTTATTTTATTTTACTATGTGAATAAACTATTATAAGTGATGTATACGTATAAGATCAAATAAAGAAATAACTTGTCAAAGTTTCGAGGTTAAAAGTCAATTATTTTTAGGCTCTCGAGTGTCTCGATACGTTTCCTAGTAAAGTCGTTGAATTAAATGAAATCATTGAAGAATTTATGCCTGAATCGGCAAGGAATAATAGTAATAATGCTAACATAACTCATCCTAAAGCAAGATCGGCATCAACATTGTCAAGTACCCAAAATTGTAAGTTAAATTCTGATTTAGATGCTAATATTCATATTTTTAGAAATAGTTTTAATTGTTATCTATTAATTACAGTTACTACTTATTATTCCTTATTCATGTGCGATAGAAATCGCACGAAACATGGAATTTATAAAAGACGATATCGCAGAATTTACGGTGGTAATAATACGAACGTACGTCGATATCGTGGAGCCTTTGGTCAATTATTGGTATTTGTCATTAGTCGATTAGCTTCCTGTGCCAAACAAATCTTATTCACACCGTCTTGTTTCATAATTGACAATGTCATACCTATGTTCTTTACAAAGTAAGATATATATCGAATATTAACACATTCGCTACCATATATAGTCTAATATTTTACGTATGTGTGATATTGTTTAGTTTAATTAATATATTTTATATGTACATATATAAATTAATATTTTGTATAAAAAGAAATATAAAAAAGGCATGGTTTGTGGTAGCGAACGTGTTAACGATTAAATCTGATTTTGAATGATTACTATTTACAAAGATCAGGGTTTAAAAGCGTACAATGTGGACCATCTTCCAATTGGAACTCATCCGTATTAGGGTATACGACTAACAACGAAAACTATAACACGATCGTTGGTAATTTGATCAGCATCATGCGACCATCTGCTGTACAATTAATCACAGATATCACGATAGTAAGAAAAGAAAAGAAAAAAATCATTGAATCAAATTTAATCCAATACGTTCTACAAAATTAACTTACGAGAGGATTGATCTTATTGTAGATTAAACGTTGGCTGCAGGCCCTTGGCCTAATCAAAACTTCACTGGAGTCGATTGAATTGACTAATGCAACTCGTACCACCGAAACAATCGATTGTTGGTCTTACGAATTATACTTTCATCTGAAAAATCTTCAAGTTAAAATGCTACAAGAAAAAGTATGACAACTTATATTATTATGTGCTATTAATAATTAATCTTAAATATTAAAAAATGAATTATATTCAAGGCCAATGAAAAAGAATCAAAAGATTGCAATGATATGACACATTTAAATTTGTGGCATCGTATGGTCCAACTTCGTAATAATTATATTATCCTTTACGAGACATTGAATAACAATGAAAAAATCTTGAATCTCTCATCGATGGAAGTTACTTGATTAACGGTTCTATCGTTAATGTATTTGTGTGTGTATATAAAATGAATATAAATTCTAATCAAACTCTCTATATTGAATTACTTTAATGTAATATTTAATGTTTAATAATATCATTGTGAAGTTTCTTGATTAAACTGTCGAATAGAAGATTACTATGAAATGGAAAAGATTGAAATAAAGTATGCAAATAGAAGGTCCGTGGCCATGCCTCTCGCCCTTTCGCTTCGACACGAACAATCTGACATGACTCGCCATTGTCGTTAACATTTAAACGTCGTGCCTAGGAAGGGAACGTACGCTTCGCGTTGTGAATTTTTATTTAGATGATATTGCACCACCCGAACGACCTGCAGTCACCACCACTCTCTTTCTCTCTTTCTTTCTTTCTTTTACTTTGTTTCTCTGTCGTAGCGCGAGTTATGACGCAACTTGCTTAACTCAGAGAAAACATCGAGCAATTTGAAGAGTGAGCTATCATCGTTGCATTTCAATCGGCTCACGTTCCTTTAAATAACGCATCCAAAGTACAAGAACAAACGTAATTATCCATATAACTAATTCTCTTACAATAATATATGAAAGATCACAGTTAAATATCCTTCGACTACTTTTCTACCATCATATTTTCATTACTTCATTTTTTAATCACCGCACAATCGTAGCACACACATTAACGAACGGATTTATCATGTTCGTAATATTACCTGTCGTTTAGGATAAAGACATCATTTAGCTTCTGTCATGTTACAATGCGTAATATACTCGATGGACTATGATAAATGATTACGTTACCAGTTACCAAGCTAATGAAAGAGAACAAGTACCGCCTTCTTTAGTCTCTCCAATAACAATAAACATCTTAAATCGTTATTATTATTATTATATTATAACCATCTTACCAAATTTGTCATTTAATCAAAATCTATATACACTTTTTTTAAAAGTACAAAATATTATCATTCGTAAGAATAAAATCATTTTAATAGACGTATATATATATCGCAACAATTTTGATCTGTCATCGAAGTCTGACCACCGAAAGAATGATAAAGGTCATTCTGAGTCGAACCAGTTGACCTTTTCTAATGTCATTGATCTCTCCTTTTCTTCTTTACCAGTTCCATTCGTAAGTACGATCGACCCGACATGAGCATAGTAGCATTCTTAATCATCTCCTTACGATGCGTTTATTTCAGTTTCACTAAGTTACACGAAAGAAATCGTCTCGTTGATGATTCATTCAATTTGAACGAGAGTGAAAGAGATGGAAAGATTCGTTGTATATGAAGAATAAGGTCGATATACCATTTAATATCTTGATCATTCTTTTCTTATATTTTTTTTTTTTTATTTAAATAACGAAAGAGAATAAAAATAATAAACGTAATGTCAGCATAATCAATTTGCTGGTAACGAGGAAACATTATTTCGTCGATACAAGAGTTCACAATTGTGTGTTTCCTATTCGCAAATTCTCTTTATCTCTCATACATTATTTTTCTGTCTTTATCTATATTTCGTTAAGTTTATTCAACCGTTAGTTAATATTTCGAGTAGGGTATAACGAGAAAGGCTAATGTAATATTTCTTTGGAATCTTCCGTTCCCACAATAAATATGCCGTCAAATATCCTTCTCTTAACTCTAAGGAGCGCCGATACCAACTTGAGAATAACTACGTCGGTGTAAACGATCATACGCTTACGGAATAACGCCATGAGAAAGTCGACCTTACCTTTACGCGTTCGCGCATCAAGAAAAAGCCTAAGACGGACCACACAGGATGAAGAAAAAGAAAAAGAAACAAAAATCATACTCGAGCTTTATCCTAAGCTTCTTGTATCTACGCTCGGTAGCACATTTAACCCTTTTCCTCCTTCCCTCAGTCTCCCCTTTTTCATCTTACTTCTTCTTTTCCTTTATGTTATTTTGTTGTTTTTAATGTTCTCATCTCGTTATCAGTATATACCAGCAAGCATAATTAAACGACTAACCTAAGTTCCACAGACCTTAGATCGGTATGATCAAAATGATCGAAATAGTTGATTAGGTATTTGCGGTGTTAACAAATTGTTACATGCCGTATCAAGTCGATTTTACGATTGCACTTTTATGACACTTAAACGAACAGGAATTTTAGCTAACAAATAGTGGTAATACTATCACAAATATCACGAAGATTATAGTCACTCGCATCGTTATTCAAAAAAATCATAAATATATTATATAATTAATATATATTAAATAATAAATATATAAAATAAATATATTAAATAAAAAATTTAAATGAATATATTAAATAAATTTATTGAAGACGTTAGAAGATCTTCTCAAATGCTTCAACTCTAGTGCGATTAGTTTATTTTTTTATTTTTTACTAGAAATAAATAAATTAATAAAAGTGTATAGTAGCAGCAATCTATAAGTGTAAAATATATACATGTACCATCTTTTTAGACATTGCAGATTTTTTGTCATATTTAACCGAGTCTTTTAGAAAATTTAATGGGATGAGAATAATTATCATAACCACACAAATATTATTACTCATTTAAATGAATTTTAAGAGACTGAACATGCACGTGCGATACCATGATACATATGTACTAAAATGCATGACTTTTTGTCAAAGTTTAAAATAACATCAGTTCCGTCATACTTTGACTACTCTCTTCTTATCTTATTTAACAAACTAATACGTTTAAATTGAATCGTTAGGGTCTCTCATTCTCGAAACATTCGGTTGAAAGTTTTTGGCACGCTTCTATTTCGAGAAGAAGGACGCACGTGTTGAGTAAGAAACGATTTATACGTCTCACGATGTCAGAGGATAAATCGGTGACATTAGTTTCAATTTCGAATCCTTTACTCGTATTCATTTTGATGGACGTAAGAAGACACAAATCGTTCGATCGTCGATCTCTGATATATCTGTTGAATTATTTTGTATTCGACACTGAGCTTCGTGTGTGATCTAAGTAAAATGATCGAAACTTATTTACAAACTACGGGAACGTTCGAAATTACAATCGTACGATTTCCGATCGATAAAACTATAGAAGAATAAAGAATCGCACCTTTTCCCTTAGCTGGCATCTCGTATATTTAAAAGGCTGTTTATTGTTCGAAAGGGAAGAAGATTTACATCCACGGACCAGCACGATACTACATGCACGTTACTCATTTGCAATTTTAAATCGGACGCGCGTGATGCATGCGACGACGATGGTGAACCTGTACGAGTAGAACGACAACTACGAAGACGACGACAACGAAAACGGTAGGCAATTTGAACTGAAATAAAGCGTAAGGTGAATCCCTAATAAACCATCATAATTAAATTTAATTTGTGATTTAACTCGCAAATTTATCATTTAATCGAACTCGTATAATAATAACAACAATAATGATGATAATATAGATCGTAAATATTCAACGTTTCGCAATCATGCGTATGTATGTATGTATGTATGTACGTGTGGGTGGTGTCTATGTTTTCTCGGTCTCTCTATCGTATCAGATACTTCTTCCTTCTTGAACACTGTTTGCTGTCTTATTCGAATGCAAAAACTTGTGGCATTCATTCGAACACCATTCGAACACTTTCCAATAAAACGACCGTGCGATTACGTATTCTATTGAAAGCCAGTCGATGTTAGAAATATTTTTAGCCTACCTGTGTTGTACGTTTTACAAATCTTTATTTTTACTGTTTTTTCTTTTTTCTTTTTTTTCTCTTTTAGAAATAGGAAGACTTCTCCTGAAGGAAGGAACAAGGTAGGTGTCCGTTAACAGGCTAGGTAAAAGCGTTAAACGAGTGCCGACCCCAACTAACCTGCGATCTTGGTTGATAGTTGATCGCGAGTTAAGCTTCACTCCATATATAACAGCCTCGAACGAAATCTCTTGTGTGGCTCCATCGTGCGAACGAACGGTAGTCACGACTCTGATTACGAAGCATGTAAAACACACCAAAGACCTTTACCGTGTAAGATAAACGGAGAAAGGTTTAGAAGGATGCAAAGATGGAGAGAAAGGGAAGGGTGCAAACGTCGGAGAGAGAATGAAAGATCTTTGTTCGATAAATAGGAAACCCGAGAGAAAGAAAGATACGAGGGTAAATCATAATTAGATCCACCATCAATCTCTCTATTGGTAAATCATCTATTTTCAACCTTAACAAACATCGTATGATTTATAGAAAAATAAAAGAAAATTTTATCGGTTAACAACTTTTTTGCAATTGGATCTTTTTTTGTAGGATCTATCTTACCTATATAAAAAAAAATAATAATAATCATATGATATATTATATTCTTATCAAACAAAACGTTTTTTACAAATGTAAACAAGAGAGTGGGGATCTAACATTACGATAGGTATATTCGTTGTATTTTTCATTAGAACGGACAAAAAAATTTCGCGATAACCCCGTAAGGAAAGTTACCCCTGTTTCTTAGTACCTTTATACGTAAAATCACAGATATACGATCGAAGATTATACTCGTACGAATGTAATAAAGACGGTAACGATGATCGAACGTACGTAGAGAACCGAACCGTTAGAGATAACCATGAGTTTGCTCGTGGCACTTCTTCTCGATCTTTCGCACCCCGGCGATTCAAACGACGACGTATTCCTGACATTAGAACACATCGAACGATCTCTGATTGCGGAAAGGATCGAAAAATAAAAATGCGATCGTATAATTCGCTCGTTCTTCGTATATGACTTATCATTTCTTTCTCTCTCTCTCTCTCTCTCTCTCTCTTACTTTTTCTTTGGTATTCCATCGGTTACAAAGATCGATCTACGAAGATCGATAATCTTCCCTTCGTTCCAAAGGGAACGAACTCTATGAAGAGTTCTTCTATCCTACCTTCTCTTTCTATCGCTATAACCTATTTGAGATTTACGAGCCGAGGTGAAAACGTCGGTAGGAGAAAACTTCCATGGCTCGTTCCACGAACGACGCTGAACGGCTTGTCGAAGGACGAAAT